CAAACTATCTGAGTAATTCGCAGTGATCGGTTGCTGCACTCAACTATCGCCACGATAATTCACACACTGGCTACGACAATATAAACGCAGAGCATAGCGGCTGATTTGTCACCGCGTGCTCAACAAATCTCTCTGGCCTCCCGCCGGTCCAGTATAACCCGTCGACGGCCGATAATCGACCATCGATTATTCGCACAGCAGTAGCAGCATGCAAATCCTTACGCAACGCGATACGGCTCGCGTGACGAAATGATATGAATTTTTTGTGTCCACCATAGTGAGCGCCACGCTAAACGATAATTTACGAGCGCCAGCGCTTTCGTTTTCTTTCACTTTTTTCCGTGGAAGATCGCGCCGATTATTCATGTTTGTTTTAAAACCGATTATCATACGAGATTCGCGTGTGTGTATTGCCGAATGAAGGCGTTTCGTCGAATGATTTATCGCGGCTTCAATCGATTTTCGAAAAAACAATTGGCCTTTGTACAAATAGAATGCGAGCTTTGTGCATATCAAGACTCGTCTTTCCGCTACGTTTACCTAGAGAAGTTTTGCGAGTAGGTGACGCCTTAATCTTACCCACTAAATCTCTACGCGAGAGAAGAAGGAAGAGAGAGAGAGAGAGAGAGAGAGAGAGAGAGAGGAGCTACTGTGCGCCTGCGATTTATGCGGACTGGTTTCCTCTTCGCCGAGGTGAAAATCACTTTGACCGCGTGCTCGCACTCGCTAAACATAAATCCTCTCTCTGCAAGATCTATATGACTTTTCTTCTTTTCATAAATTCATCTATTTAATTTTCACTCGCAAGCAATTAAATGATATCTATAAATAACTTGCGACGCTGTGTGAAATTCATGAATAAAAAGTTAGTCAGCGTTCATTTCAAAAGTGTTCGTCGAGTAATAAACTCGTCAACGCGCACGAGAGTGACGCGTGCAACTGCAGGCTTACTTAATTAGCGTTGAACATTTTTCGACAAGCATCGCTACGCATTATTTAGTGAGAAAAAATAATTCGACCCAGCGCGAACATCTTCTCAAATAATCGTAAATATAAGGTGACGTATAATATGCTCCCGATTTTTTTTTGCTCCGAGACACGATGCACAACACACTCGTATAATGTGCAATGATGCGTTGGACTTTTTGCTCCAATTGTCGGTCGAAGATTCCCATGAATTTTTTTTGGAACACATTCATATTACAGGTGAATAGTAAATAGTTCCGATAGGGAAAAGTTGACTTAGTAGATTAAGTGTTCAGATTTGTTGACGTCGCAAGCTTTGAGACTTTTATTCTTTCGATTTATCTTATCGATGTAGGTCATCCGTCGTATCGACCACTTCTTTTTTTTTATTGGTCGTAAAATCGCTCTGTTTTTTACGGCTTTTATGCTCTGTAAACAAAATTTCTTTTCTTCTTTTGTGTGCAGAATGACTTTTTCAGATAATTTATCGACTTTTTTTTGAATTATATCCATATGCATGATCTATTACTTTTATAAGATTTTAATTTGCGTGGATGGGAAGTTACGTTCGATTATTAAACGAATACTTGAAATATTTTAGACGAATAGAATCTACTCGAAAGCGTAGACAAACAATCGTAATCAGGCATAACAATATTACTGTATATTAATCCTTAGAGCAGAAATGTCAATCCACATCCCTTTTCCCGGTTGTAGAAAGTTAACGGACAGTCCCCTAAATGCACTGGGCAGCGTAGTAAAGTAACACGTAATCGTGATAGTGTACCAAAAGATAGCTCGAGTGGTAATAGCACTGCAGGTAGGTGTGAGCAGATAGAGTTCACTCACTCTCTCTCTCTCTCTCTCTTTCTCTCTCTCTCTCATGCAGTGAAGAGCGGAAGTAAGAGCAATTAACGATATAAGTGGTTCGTCGGGCGAACGCGCGTGCGCACACACATCTCGATAAGATCGTTTTGCCCTCCCCGCTTCTGCTTCTACTTGCCACCGCTCTCGATGGGAAGCAGATAGAGCTCGGCGCAGGTGCCTTTTGGGCACATTATACGCTCGCCACTTTCTCTGAACTCGCTTTTCTCTCTCTTTCTGTCTTGCTTTATTTTTCTTTTACGCGTTTTTACTACTTTCTCGCTCTATTAATCTTTTCATCGGCGAGATTATTGCCAAGGGGATTATCATGCAAATATAAATGAACTTCATTAGTAATGATCTTTTTCTTTGTGGGGAAGGATGCGCGCTTAAAAGTTGAAAATATGCAATCTAACAAAAATAGTTTGCATAAACAAAGTGGTATCCGTTTCCTGCTCATCACTATCATGTTTATCGTTGCAGCGCATTTACAAATTTGCTTGTTATAATATGTTACTACCCCAAACAAAAAACACAGGATTTGGAGAGCATTTGACTTCCATCATCGGAGTGCTAAACGTTCTCTTATTGTACGAGAGCGTGCTGATTGACAGCTGTTCCAGTGAATACAGAGAGAGAGAGAGAGAATACGGGTGCTCGAGAATGAGGAAGAATGTGAGAATGGCTACACGCAGGTGTAAGATATTAAATGCTCCGGTGGTTCCACTTGTGGCTGCCACTCTCTCTCTCTTTCTCTGTGGATTTTTTCCGAAAATTACAGTCATCTGTCCTAACTCAATCGAAAATCTATAGTAACTCTGTGGGTTCTAGCTCAGAATCTAATTTATGACAATGGGGAAAAGAGAAAGTACATAGAAACAACAGACTATGATACGAAAAAAAATCAATCAGTAGTTGAATGTCACGAGCATTGACCGCAGCAAACAATATACCGACCGCGCGTATATATATGAAATCACGTCCGCAATGGGTTTTATATGCAGTGTCACCGCGAAGAGGAAGAGGATATGCGGCGAAAAAAGGGGGTTCCCTTTCGCGTATAATACTCCCCCGAAGAGATAGTTGGCTTGGTTCCGTTGGTCGGCGAGGGCACGTCAGAAACACAGCGAGAAAGTCAACGGTCTCTCTCTCTCTCTCTCTCTCTCTTTTGTTATTACACGGCTCAGAGGATGCAGCGAAGCCCGGCAAAAGCTCTGCACTCGGGGCACACCGGTTAACCACATCCTTCGCTTTTCGATGCTTCTGCGCTTCGATTTCCAACTGCTTGCAATGACCGACTATGTTTTCGGATTATACTTGTTGTGCAGTCTGTTTTTTTTCCGTCAGCGCTACTTCTGTACGTTATTTTACTACACGCGTTCGAAAAGAAACATGGAGGGGGTTGGTTTTTGTTCGTTGCCGCAAAACCGCAAGATGCGACAACGTTGTTTGCTATGTGTAAAACGACGCGAGTTGAAACTTTATTTTTCTATCCCTAGTCTGAGTTCTTGGTGTTTTGAGAGACGTTGTATTGCACTCTCTTTCTTATAGGGTATCTTAAGAATTCATATCCGCCCGACTTTTCGGTAGCGTCTTATTCTTTATTGAAATTTATCATTATAGCTGACGAGCGACATGTCCCGGCAATCTATCAAAATTTGAATTTGCAAGAAAAAGAGGTATATCCGTAGAAGCTCTTGCAGTGCATATGTAAAGCACATAATAGCACGCACAAAACTCGGCCAAGCTTCGTTCACGCTCGGCTGGACAATAATAAAAATCGTTATAGCATGGAGAGCCGCGCGTTTCTTACGCAGCTCGTCTTTGTCGGCTAATGAGGCCTCACCAAATTAATATCCCGTAATTGGGGGTATACCACGAGAGAGAACGGCTACCCGTTTTACCCTAATAGGAATAAAATAAGCCCTTCCTTCCACAGTCAGGGTAATTGCACTTCTCTCTCTCTCTCTCTCTCTCTCTCTCTCTCTCTCTCTCTCTCTCTCTCTCTCTCTCTCTCTCTCTCTCTCTCTCTTCGTCGACCGACGGAAATGAGCAAATACGATTAAGCCTTAAGTTGCCTGTCACGCTTCGCTTTCGCGATGCTTAGTTATATACGTATGCCCAGTGCGCGAGGCCTCAAAGTCATGTTATGTATGTAGTTTTTTCCGCTCACGAGCCTGAGCTACAGATGTAGTTTTAATTCCGTATTTTTCAAGGCGGAAATGTATGTAAGATCACTGCGATCTCTAGCAAGATATCTAGCAACGAATAATTGTGAAATGAGAAATTCGTACGAGTAATGAATTTCAAATGAACCTATATACTGCAAACGCTCTCTCGCAATCAAAATTAATTCGTTCACGGAGCGCGTTATGAAAATTCTCTCTCGAATAGCTGCTACGGCTGCTGTTGCTGCTGCTGCTGGCAGCGCTTGTGCAGAAATTCACACAGGATGCGTCTTTCAATCGTCGACTTAATACATTAAACGGGCATTAAACTCTGCAGGAACACGCGAAGATTATGTTAATTCATCTCTCGTCATCGCGCATCAAGGTGCACTTTCAAAAAAGCGCGCTTAAACTTCTCTCGTCGCGAAAAAGATTACTGAGCTACCGCCTTTTGCGCGCGCTCCACTGATTTGCACTCTCCAACTTGTCACGCTACTAATCTTTCTCTCGCGGCGAGATAAAACGTGTCTTTCTCTCTCTCTCTCTCTCTCTTCCCCGTGCATACGCGGGAATTAAGTTTTCACCTCGCGTTCATGTCTCATTTTTATATATTCAGATCTTATCTCTCGCGTGGATTTTATATATATTAAGAGAATGTTTTTATTTGACGTCGCCCGTTTAGATAAGCAAGCTCGTAATTGGGTGCTAGATACCGGCCAATGCGGATCCGAAAATATAAAAACGAGAGGAGTTTTCGCGTACACGTACTTGCCGTATAAGTGTGTAGCGCAATTACTTAACAAGATACGATTCATTGGCTCTGCTAGTGCGCCACATATGACGTGTATTAGCATTTTTTCGGGCTCGCGGTCGTACTAATTAGCGAACGCATTAACCGCGTGCACGGTAATGCGAGGAAATATGAGTGTACAGTCGCAGAAGAAGCTGTTTCCTTGAGGGGCAATAATAATGATAATAATGAGCTTAGTGTGAGATTCAGTATAATATATTTTCCATACATCTTTTGCTATACAGACATTATGTTACAAAGCATGAATTTACTTATAAATATTCTTTGCTGCATTTGGAAGCATGGGAAACGGGACTGGGAAGAAAAGGGAATTGGATAGAGGAGAAGGGGAAGGACTTACAACGTTTAATATAGAAAACCGGCTTCGTTGAGTGACGATCGTCGCGATCGATCAATCAAAAAACATCCAACCAGGTTACCTGTTGTTGTTTTCCTTTTTTTGTATTTATTTTTCTTTTTATTTGTTTTTTTGTTTTTGTATCTTCGTATCCCTTCATCGACGCACAGTCGCACGTATAACTGACACACCTCGCACATTCGCCATTGTCGCGCACACCATACGGTAAAATCTAGGTAATTTTATACATTTATAATACTGGTACTCCCGCGCGCGATGCGCAAGGGGAAAAGCGCCATATTATTCCCCCTTGCTGAGCGCGCAGCGAGGAATGCGTCTGAAATTCGACTCTAACAAACTGGGTTAGCTGTGTCTGTGTGCGTGTGCGCGTGTGTGTGTGTGTTGTATGTATTTGTGTTCTTGTTCGTCGTTTTCATCAGCTGTGCACTCACCACGAAGAAAACAACGAATGTTTTGTCGTTGGGCGGCAAATGCGGAAACAACCTACGACGGCTTCTAGGATACTTCGCTGCTTAATGTAGCGTACAGCTCTACAATAGTAATCCTATTATAATTGTACTTGTCCTATATTCGTGTCTTTTTTGTGTACAAGCTGAAAAACTCAACGCCACATAATACTCCACTTTGTTCTTCTTGCAGAAAAGAAATTCATCGTATTTACAAGATCAACGTTTAGCGTCCATGAGAACAATCAAAAGATTATACATAAGTATACCCAACGAAAGTTGAGTTTTTCGTTCAGAAGAGGAGCACCTCTTTAAAATTCAAGTTCATCGTTGAAGGATGCGCGAAAATTTTGGATAAATAGCCAAGCTCCGTTGGGTATACCACATCGTGATCGGCTCGCACAATTGCACAATCTCTCTTTCCCATGGGCTCCATCTCGAATAAATAAACAAACAGAAAATATCATAATAGTACGTAAGTTACACTAGACCTCCACGTACACTCTCTATCGTACACGCACAGAAGGGGGCATGAGGGGCAAAGGAATCTAAAGAATCAAGTGTAAATATATCTACAAATGTCTATAACGAGCACTCACGCGGGATGGGAGGGGAAGGGTGTACAGTAATTAATGCCCGAACAGCGTATTTTTTACGCGAAAAATGTCCATGCGTGCTCGTTATTGTATCAATCAGGTCTTTCATTATCGTTGCGACTGAATACGAAAGAAAGAAAGGAGTTTCAGCAGGCAACATTGTATGTATAAAGTCCTGCCCACGGTCACGTGTCACACTGCGGCCCGTTAATGTTATATTAATTGCGGTTACCGGGACGCCACGTACGGGTTCTTTTGGAGCTCGTCGTGTAAAATATTTCGCCTGGCTTCTTTCCCGACGACGTCCTTGCTGGGTTCACTTGCGCCGATTTCACCGGTGACAAACTGCGATCGAAACTCGCTTCAACGACAACGGCCTTTCCAATGGGAAGCTGCGTTCCAAAGTTGCCCGCAGCCACGTGCAAAGATCAGTTCCTAGTTTCGCTTTCCCTCGTTGAGCAGAGCACCGATTTGGCACTATTACGCACGATCGAGAGAGCGACTCGCCACTTGCTTTACACGTCGTGTATGCTCTCGTCGTCGCTGTCGGGTTTGCAGATACTAGTGGGCGTGTCGGGCGATTCCCGCCTGCCAGCAGGAGAGCGGCTCCGACTTCGACTTCGACTACTCCTCTCGGCGCGAAACTGTTGATGCAATTGCCTGTCGCGTTGCTGCTCCAAGGCCGCCGCGCTGCCAGGATCGCCAGGTTCGCGCGCCTCTCGGCTCAAGTAACCATTGTCGAGGCCACCGAGACTGTTGAACGAGGCTGCGGCTGCGGCGTTCGGCGTGAGTGCGCCCAGCGGCGCGCTTGGTCCTGCGAGTATCATCGCCGGTGTCGGATGCAGGCGATAGGGCATCGGTCGCTGTAGCGTTGCCGCGGCGGCCTGGCGATACAGCAAATCGTTTTGCGCGTGATGCGCTGCCGCCGCCGCGGCCGCTGCTGGCGAGTAGTAGTACGGCGAAGCTGCTGGGTAGAGGCGTTGAAGAGCCGCGTAGTTGCCGGCTTCCGCGAGGATCTCGTAGCCGACTATCGTTTGGCGCTTCCATTTTGTTCTGCAATCAGATTGAAAGAAAAGCCAACGATTAATTATCGGCGCCATTTACGCTTCTCGTAATCTACTTCATTAGCTAAATTCAAACATTTATATGGGTAGTATTATAATCTGCATAGAACGAACGACTCGAGCGCGCCAGTAAGAGTTAAGTCGCTCGTAAAAGCCCTTTAAGTCGTTGAACGCCCAGTTAGGCATAAATTTTCGGTTATGGAACTTCATTTATTTTTTCTTTCTCGTGTAATACGCTTCTATATCGAGAAACGCAATCGCGGTAGTGCGTTTTGTATTATACAGGCGGTCCGCCTCTTGTAAAATAATTCAATGACCGCGCGATTCTTATCTCCGTCTCCAACAATTTATGAGAATTCGGCACGATTCCGTATGTGCCTGTACATATACATTTGGCCTCAGTGCGCTCGCAATGCCTTACAAATATTTCCTTTCCACCTTTGTACAAACAACTCTGTGACAACTGCCCACCGATCGTTTCCCCGCGATAATATAGTGTTGCATGCAAATAACCTTGTTGACTAATTAAAGCTAAGGGTCACTTGGAGCTGTTATTAAAGTAGTCTTAAAATTTAAACGTTAAGAGGAGAACTCGGCCGATCAGAAAAAGTAATCGACGTCCTTGGCTATATAACAGTGCTCATGCTGTGAATAAATCTTGTATAGTTCTCGTTGGATCTGGGACAATTACGCTCTTGAGCAAGAGTAGTATATGTATATAAGGGATGGATCGTATGGCGTGCAGCCAAGTGGCCCTTATTATACTAACAAATAGCCGGGGCCTCCGCAGCGTCTAATCATCGCGTATCATGCCACATTGTCGAGGGATGGGAGGAGGGAGGTGGGCTGAAACAGCGTGCAAGGCAGAAAATTGCCGAGAGAGGAAGGTGTGAGTTACGCTGATTTTTCTCGTGATATCGTACGCGAGGTACCACACGGGGTTGCGCAGCTATTCTCGAGATATAGGAGTTTTCAGACAAACGTATCCTCTTCCTACAAAGCGATAGCCATATCGCGACTCCACGAGGAAAGGGGATGTGGGACTGAAACGACCATCACACCCTTTGATCGTGAGTGAGAAGGATCGCAAAAAAATCCTGATAATTCGTGGCTTTCGTACTTTGTATCTACTAAAAATCTAATTAATTCCTTAAAGCTACAACGGAAGTTCGATTCGCAACTCGAAAAGCGTAAGATTTACCAAGCGATCGGAGGATAATTCGCGAGTTTACGACGCGCGACTATAAAAAACCATTAAACTCTTCATCGGTAAGAGGTGGGGGATGTAAAGTCTTTTCGAAGGCGCTCGCACGCGCTTACAAGCCAATCATTATCCACGGTCTTATAGTCACGAAAGCAATGCTACTGCTGCTGCTTTTTCCCAACCGGATGCACACTCGAAGGAGTCGCTGCCGCATAAGCGCGCGCCGTGCGCACATATTCAATGACAAGCGATCCATCAGCGTAATTAATAATCCACTGCCGAATTAAAAGACACACATAATTATATAGTCGAGAAAAATCGTACATGAGAAATGTATATTTAAATACGCACGCGATTATTCTTTTTTTTTCCTCTTCTTTCGTTGACTAATGATCATTGCAACGGTTTTTTTGGTTTCGTCGAGGATGGGTAATTAATAAAAATCGCTCAGTCGTACGCTAGATATGCATATGAAAGCGAAAGAAATGACCGCGAGGAGAATGGGAGAAGCTTGAATTTAGGCCAACACAAGTAAAGCCAAGCGGCGTCTATTGTGGTTGCGCATGTATAGACGACAGTAAAAATCGTTCATGAATTTTAAAGCGCTCTGCGAATCATTTCTCATATTTTCGCTCGACATTTAACGCTACGAGTGCGCGCGCTCCCCGCGATTATGTGATGAGTAATGCTTTTTAATACCTCCCCCCTCCCTTCTCCTTCGACTAGAGCACTCGAAAACACCCTTAATTGCCGTGTTCGCCCTTTTGTTGAGCATTGATTTATGGCCCACGTTAGCGTAAGGGTTGTGCGAAAACTTTGCAGCGAGCGCGCAAATGGAAAATGAAAATCACGCGGGATAAGAGCGCCGCCGCGTCGCGAGATGCATGGGAATTTTTATGAGCTGTAATGATGCTGTATATACGTAATGAGGCTGATCGTCAAGCTCTTGACTCGTCTGTGGCGACTGATCTACATACGTCATGGTAAATTTAAAATACGTTGAAAATCTTTCCGTTTGTATTTTCGAAATGACCGAGCTACTGAACTCGCATAGCCGAATGCCTGTAAACATGGCATTGACGTAAGAGAATCCTAATGTAGCCCAAAAAATGATTAGGAAAAAGGACGATAAGCATGATTCATTCGTTCGAAAACGAATTCCATCTTCAACGTCACGGCGAGTCATAAAGTTATTCATCCAACGATCAAAAACGTAGTTTTCCTCGTGAACGCACGCAGAGCAGCCGGAAACGTGATCGATCTTTCAGTTGTGTATACGCACTTTCTCCCACAGCCCCTTCCACAAAAACAACCTGCCGGCATCAACAACAATAATTCACCCCTTTTCCCCATCATGAATGATTCAATAACGACTTCACGACCATTAACGGCGTCTGATCGCTGCAAATGGAATATGATATAAACCGTGAACGATCGTCGTTTACTTGCACTTTTCCCGCGGGAGCTGCACGAGCTAGTTTTTGGGTTAATTGAATGGCCAATCGAATTAATAATGAACGCCTTTTTTCGAGAGCAAGGTTTGTCGTTTAATGAATAGGCTGGCTCGCGCTAAACCACTCGTTAACCATCGATTTTTCATTTTCAGGGAAAGACCTTCCATCGTGTTAGAACCCAATTTCCGAATCACCTGCTGGAAGAAAAGAAAAGCGAGCGCGCTCTTATTTCTCTCTCTCTCTCTCTCCCTCTCTCTCTCTTTTTCTCTCCTTCTCCCACGTACAGACACATGCGCAGCTGAAAAATTGAATGCGCGCACGCGTTAATGCGTTTATAATGGCACTCGCGAGCGACAATCGTGTAACGGCTGTAGCCGCAGGGACGACATATTTTTCGAATTATTAGACGCCTGGCTGCACGCGTGCTCTCTTCTCTTTTGTGTATCATTTTTTTTTCTTTATTCGACTGACATTTATCGTTATGGTTTTTTTTTTCTCTTCGGATAATGGATTCTCATGACAGAACGTGAGCAGCTCAATTACGACGATAAAGATGCGTAATGATTCATTGCGTGACAGGAAAATCAGGAAAATATAAATAACAATCGGCGAGTGAAAGAGGCCGCGGCTGTAATCTACATATTGCAGGCGGACTCTGTGTGTCATTATTGCAGCAGCAGCAGTCTCGCGCTCGTTATCCTTTGCCGCTCCCAATTAGCCTTCTTCAACTATATGTATACGTACTATTGGTCCGTAGTCTTGAGGAAATTCAAACGCCCAACGAAAATTATAATTATACGAGATGTTTCTATTATTTTTTTTTCGTTATTCACACAGTTTCTCGTAACTGCGTATAACAATCTCTTAAATTTCGAAGGATTTTCACATAATTAGCGGTAAATCGTGAAACATTGTGTCACTACGATGTGTTATAAGCCGAACACTTTACCGAAAATAAATCGCGGCAAAATGTAAACGGCGAAGATAACCTATGTTTGGCTAATCGCATTAACTGTATTGGCGCGCGTACAGTTCATGTGGCATTACAACTTGATACACAAGCACAACGAAACATAGGAACCTGAAAAGGTGGCGCAACGACGATATAAGCGCGCAAGTGATTCGCATAGTTGGTGAGAAGTTCGCGTCCTTCGCAAGAATTCCGCATACAGCACACTCTCGTTCTATAAATAAACTTGGCGCTGTTCTTTTTCCCCGTCCATGTTAAAATGCATCTCGTTTGTGAAACAGTGATCGCTGGCGCAGTACTGCGGCGCGAAGAAAAATCCCTTCTCCCCGACGAGTAGTATAGGAAAAGCTTGACAATTTCAACGCGCGAGGAGCTGCTGCTCGCCGTTATGACGCGTGGGAAGGCGAGAGAAGCACCTTCTTCCGGCGCGCGCCGCATTCTCACGGTTATAATGTCGCACGCGCTCGCGCAAGCACATTGCACTTGTGCACTAACGCACATGCTTTCGCGAATCATCCACGAGCTGTGGCTGCAGCGGCCTGTCACTGATTTCTTTTTTTGACAAGGGAAATTATCGTCCGTTACGCTTTAATCGCGTTACGGACGCGCGCGTGACGCACGACGGCGCTAGAAGTGGAGGATGTTACTCCGCTAGAGTTGCGTAGGAGTTTTTTTTTCTTTTTTTTTCGCAGAGTGGATACGAGGGAGCATAAGGAAGTTGAATGCTGATTTTTGCCATCTCGAAGAAACGGTTCTGCCAAATAACGTCAGTTAGCGTTTGTCGTTGCGAATGCCGTCACATTGAAACTTCCGTGCTGTCAAAGGCAATCATTCTCTTGATTAAGCCATTTGAATGAAAACAAAGGTAGAAAAGTCTTGAGTCAGACAAGAATGCTACGACGGTAGAATAGTTTTTTGGGCTGTGGTATTATAGTAACCCAAGCTATACCGATAGGAAATCTGGTATTTATACACTTCAACACGAGATTCTCATTCCCTGAAGGCACTCTCGCATCAAGATCTCGCACGAGAGGAAGGCTCAGTTCCGTGGCGGCGGCGCAGGTAAAGTTCGTCTGGCGCCTTCGCAACGAATAAATCGACCGAGTCACTTTGGGAGAGAGCCACCCAAGCTAAACGCGGCGTGAGAGAGCAACAAAACTTAAGTGGCCCATTGGCGCCTGCCACTAATTTTCTTCTTCTTCCACGATGAATTATCTTGCTAAAACGTGTAGGCTGTTGTTCCGTCGCTTTTTCTAGAAGGCATTTTAGGCTTGATCTATTGTCAGAGACTTTAGTGTTGTTTGGATTTCGACTTGTTACCTTAAGTGTTTAAGTGATATAATACGCGCTCGAGGTATACTTAATGGAACTATAGGCGGCTGCTTACCGCGTAAAGACATTAAGAGTTGTAAAAGGTGAGAACGAGTAGAATGATTCGCGTCTCACAAATCGGTTTGAAGTTTTTATTCAAAAATGTGACGCGCGCTCATAGTTGGTTGTTCGCAACTAATCGATGAACCGACACGTCTATGAAGAGCGACTTGTCTCCTTTGCCGTAACCTAACTGACTCCCGCCAAAATTTTCTGGCGGAAAAGCCGATGTCACGAATGTCGAGTCTTCTACGATATGTTACACTCGCCGATATTCAAACAAAGCTTTTACGAATTTAACTTCTCTCGACGAATTGAAGACCACGAACATCAATCGAATTACAGGATTTTTTTTTCAATCGCGAGGTCTCGCAGAAGAATCACGAAGCCTTGATCTCTTACCGTGATCGCTCTTGATGTCTTATCTTCGCGGACGCACATTATGACCAAAAAATCTCCGATTGTTTTTTCTCCCCACAAAGAGACTGTAACACGATGATGGTTTCTTTTACACAGCACACGGGGAAATAATCTTGGCGCGTTTGTATGCGCTCCAGTGCATTCCTTCTTTTCTTCGACTACGTTAATACGATCGTAAATTGGGGTCCACCGGACGATTTTTATCGCTCTCACAGCGATTGTCTTTCGTTCTCGATCTCGGTGCATTTAACAGTCCGAGATGTCTTAACGTAGAAAATTATTTATCGCACTGTTTTAGAAAGCATTGTGATTAGGTGTCGAGTCAGTCTAAACTATCGATCGATTTTTGTAGATTTAATATATTTTTAGTTTATTTATGTAGAACTAGCCGCCTCGAAACAAGGAAAGCCAATCAATTAGAAAAAAAAATCCAAAAGTATTATCACTTGATTCGATGAAGCGCGCGCCCTATCATTATCCATCAGCGCGCACGCATGCATCGAGTCGCTCATACCGTATGCGCCGCCACCGCGTATAATTGACACTTTAATGACAGTTTCCATAAGCCGTGCCGCCGCCGCCGTCGCCGCCGCTCTTCGTCGGCGCCTTGTTCTTTTTTCTCTTTCTGAACCTCGTGACTCTTATTAGCGATTTCTCTCATATGTATACCTCGTGTGGTTCGGCACGTCAAGATGAAAGACAAAGAAATCTGAAGAGTCACGCGCGCGGCGCGCGGAGCCTCCTTAATTAGTGAGAAACAATCAATATCGGGCGGGGCGGAGAAATTAACGGGCACGGCTGACCGAAAATTGGCAGCAGCAGCAGCCGCGACGCTGAGAACTATTCCCAAAGGGTCGAAGAATCCCATGAGCATGCGAACTCGGCTTCGTCATAACCACTTCAAAGGGGCAAGCTCCTACTGTTTTCAAGAAGAAAATTGAAAAGTCGACGTATTCATTTGAATTGTTGGCGTGCCTCTCGAGTATTTCAACGGTAATTAGTTTTAGAATGATTGTTTTAGCGCAAATCTGTCGTATCAAAGGCGACTCGTATATCAACGCACGGAAATCGAAACTCGGATAAAACTAATAATAATTTCAGAAACGGAGAAGCGTCGATAGGTCACGATAGCAGCTGTCGTTCAAATGAAAGTGCAATCAAACAATCGATGCACGCTTGCCCGGTCATGAGTAGGCGTGTGCGCGACATAGCAGCAGCACTCGACTTGTTTTATACATGTACTACGCCGTGGCGCGGCTGCAATTGATTGCGCCGGCGGTGGCGGTGCTGATCGGCGCGTCATCTCGTGGCGCCTGCGATTCGCCGCTCTTCGATTTTCTGCGCCCGTGCTGCGCTCCGCCTACTTTCGTTCTACGCGCGGCTGCATCCGAGAGAAAATTCAGACGCTCGTTTAACACACACGACTCTACAGCATCCTTTTTTTGACTTCATCGCGCGATGAGGTGGTACGCAATTAACAGCCCAGATTTCGGTTATTGGGTGGTTCTTTGTTTCAGCCGCTAATACGCTTCGGTTTTTTTTGAGTCATGCTTTTTTAATTTCGGTTCGGGAGCTAGGTCGACATCTGTCGTGGTTCTTTTCTTTCTGGGAGCAAGGATATAGATGTTTCGTAGGCGTGACGTGTATAGATTACATCTCTATAATAAAAAATAAAATATTGTTGAGAACGGTATTTTGTCAGAACGCAATAATTTTTAAAATGTAAAGCCTACGATTAGCCTTTTTCGTTGTCTATATTAGAATTTCAAATGAACCGATAAGCGCATCGCACTGAACGATTAGTCAACGTCGAGTAATAGCTTTAAACGAAACAATTACCCTTTTTCAAAGTCACACAGCGTACTTCGCGTACAAGTACTTTTCCCCGTTCGCTCGATGCGAAAATGAAGGTTGAGCTCTCGCCAGCTTGCAAAATTCTCATAACGAAGCCTTTAAACGAATCCGTAGTCGAGCAAAAAAAATTTCACTCAGCGAAACTTTTGCACCGTCTCCAACGCCAAAGGCTCGAAGAGAAAGAGCTGCCGATCATCGCGGCGATCAAACGGGCCCCGAGAGTACAACAAAAAATGTAAGAGAGCGATGAGCCGGTTCTCAAACGCACTTTGGTCTTGAACGTTTAAGCGCGTAAACAAGAGTCTGTTTGCCGCCGCGATTTCCATTTATACGCATTCGACACGGCGACAACAAACAGCAAGCTGCGATGACGCGCTAGACTTTTTCCGGGACGCGAGCTTTTCTTTGTTTAGAAGCAATCGATCGTTCGCGGGCTTTTAGCGGCCTACCGCCGTGTCGGGAATTCGTTCCGACATCGAGGGCGGCCATTTAACGAGATGATTTTCTTCGGCCAAGCGGGTTTATTGATTTTGAAGAGTCGAAAGACGGATACCTTTTTTCGTGCGGTGCAGCTACAACGTGGGCATTGATTTGAAAGGATGATGCAAGGTATACATCTTACCTTCGATTCTGATACCACGTTTTGACTTGCGTGTCGGTGAGCTGCAATTTGGCCGCGAGTTCCATTCGGTCTTGCACGCTCAGATACTTTTGTTTCTCGAAGCTGCGCTCCAGCGTCTGCAACTGGTGATCCGTGAATGCCGTTCGCGCTTTTCGCTGCTTTTTACTCTGTGACGAGCTCTGGCTGTTTGCTAACTTCTGTTCGTCTTCTTTACCACCTAAGCACAAACAGTCATGATGGAATACGTACAAAATGGATCATGTGTATATGAATGCTTTCAATGTAAATGTCGATGCGAGAGAGCGCGTCGCGTTCTTTTTTTCCATTCCGCGAGTATAAAATCGTGTGCAGAGCTCGCGGCGCACACTCCAATGCATCGCTCGATACGCCAAGGTTACGCTCCCGTGCATTCACTTCTCTTTCCACGTTCCAGTCGGGGGAAAGGAGAGAGGAGAGAGGAGAGAGGAGAGAGGAGAGAGGAGAGAGGAGAGAGGAGAGAGAGAGAGTCGTAAATTTCACGGAATCCAGAAAAGAAGCTTTCGTACAGCAGTTCACAGCATCAATGTGTACATACACGTAGATAGGGGAGGTGGCTGCGCTGTGGCGTGCGGGAGCTTGTCATCGATTGGAGAAAGCTTATAGAGCTTGCGCACACAGATATCCCCACCTTTTTAGACCGCGCTGATAGGGGAGGAAGAAGAAGAACGAAGAATAGAGAGAGCGAGAGAGAGATCGACTTAAGCCGGGCGAAAGCGCGACCCTTAGCGCGGTCGTTTGATCGGTGCGCAGATTCGCGCTTGAACGCTGCCGCCATCTTCGGCCAACATGGCTGCTTCTCTCTCTCTCTCGGTCGCATGCGTGTGCGTCTATGTAGCGCAGACTAAACCCAATTTACTATGTGATACACTTACGAGTTTCTTTATCCGCGACTCCACCCTCGCAAGAGTTGAAGGAACGCGACTAAGCAGATTCTACTTAACATTCTTCCACGCGACTCTAATTAACATCCGCATGTGCCTCTCTTTTTTTTATCTTTCTTGTCTGCCGAAAAATACATGTCGTGGAGGGCATCCGGACGACACTCGCGTGCGCCAGACGCGTGATTAACAGGATGTTTATCGAGCAATTATAAGCGCTCTCGTCCATGTGCAATTATATACCTCACATGCGACGTTTCTACGCTACGGCAGAGTAACGTTGTACTTTTTTTTGCTGATTTCCATCGAAGCTTAGTAGTAACGTGTGTTGTGTTAACAGGTACTTAGGCGAACTTGGACATTTATTTTGGGAAACTTTGTTAATTCGATAAATTGTTTCGTGGAAAAACAGAGTGTTGGAAATCTTGTTTGCGCGAAGTATCCTCGAGTGCTCGTCACCTCGGAAAATTAACTATCAATCACAAGCATTTACGCGTCGATTAAAGCTTAAACACTCCCCGTATTCTACGCGAACGCCAATAATTCTCATTATTATTGATTTCGCTCCACTAGTACCAGCAAGATATAAAAAAACCGCCAATCGCTCGCCATTGCCGAAGGATATAGCGCATTAAAAGAAAAATTGCGAGCGATGAATATTCATCAATACGCGCGAAGACAACACACTTGTAGACAGTGTTATTGTACGAACTTAACAAAGAGCTCGTGCGCGGTGGGCGTGACTTCGTCATCTATAAGTACCTCGATTTTTATTTGTCGCGTTAAATCGCATTTGCTAAGCTACCACGGTACGGTGGAATGAATTATTTATTATCGAGTGATAGATCTGTTATGCGAAAGATACCGTTTTCTTCTTTCACTCTCTGTAAACGCATTGAAATCGATTGCCGCCGAAGCGAGCATTTTCTTCGATTGAGTTGTCGTTGGAGAAAAAGAAATAGAAGACGTTTGCGAGTTTTTATGCGCCAGTATTGGGAGGATTATGAAAATGTTGATAGATTTATGCTCAGAGGAAAGGAAGAAGACTTTTAATCGGATGGATTCTTAAAGGTGATGCGAGATGATAAATGCTTGCAGCTATTTCCACGCAATTGACTTATAAGATATACAATCTTATTTAGAAAATAAAAACGGAAATGTACATTCTAAATTTTATTATAGCACGTTTTAAAAGATCGTAAAAAGCGTTAGATTATTCTGGAATGTGTCTAATGTGTAATGGATTTTCATTGGTTTTTCAAATTCGACTCGTAAAATGTTTTCAAGTTTATCTATGAAAATAAGACACTAACAATCTTCGAAAGATAAATCTACGTTGACTGTACGAAACAAGCCCATCAACTTTGCTCGGCCGTAGTTATACACGGCGCCGTGTCTCTATTTCCCTCCCGATGCACACGCCGACAATCGCAGTCCCCACCGGCATAATGCTCGTCCCGACGCCTTTTCAGAGCAGTGCTCATGGGGTTGCCGAAAGGTGGCGATTTCAATCGCGTGGAGCGCTCAGCTGCCTGTACTTCCGAATAGGACGATCCCTAATTGATGCAAACAATCTCGCTATACTTGTAATGGATTTCACCTAGTTAAGGTTTCCGTCAAATTGTTACACGCGCTCAATCATATATGTGTGAGTGACTTTCTTACGCCTAAAAATCATAGTCGGAACACCTTATAATTTACGAAGATAATTGCACGAATTAACATTGAATTACGTTACGTCGTGAAGTATAATATGGGACAGCTGAAGTTATAGTGGAACATTATGTTGGAGAAAGAACCTTGTTATGAGCTAAAAAATCCAATTTGCGTGAAGAAGAAGAGAAAAGGAGTCAAGTTGACACGCCTGCAATCGGCGTTCAAAGTAGGTGCACAAACTTTCAACTACTTGATCCGTGAGATTTTTCTCACAGAACGTCGTTTTGAAAATTCAATATTCATGATTCTTTGAAGAAAACATAACTGGATCTTAGGTAACTGTCACACCGAATTACAGGCGCCTCCCTATGGTCTCGAGTTCGTCATCTTGCAAAATTGAATTACACCAGCAGCATGCAATTGATAGTCTCATTAGGCGCTCCAACAATATGGCAGCCAGCGATTCAATTTCTACAAGGACGACAAATGTTTCGTGACATCAACAGCACTTGCTATTTCGTGGAAATCAGTGATTTTTCTCGACGCTAATAGCTTGCTATTGTTGTATGTTCATACGTGCTTAGGAAATTATGCGAAGTTTTTATAATTTTAGTTGCGCTTCGTCGGCTAACACAGCGGGTCGTTATCCATACGATGGCTCTGCCACGTAATTATATTGTTTTAAGTGCAATTAGGCCTAATTAAAAAACACCGAGGCGATATTTACATAATAGGATTATTAAACAAATTTTCTTTTTGCGTTTCTTTTTTATTCACGCATTTCCCGAATCGTTATTATTTTGATTGACAAGTGCAGACGCCTAACGTTACGAAACTATTTATATCCTTAGTTACGAACGTATCGTATTTACTATGCATCTTAATCTCCATAATTGGATATTAAATGGAATTTTTTCTCGTAATTACAAATCGTATGAATATTAAGCGCGCGTGTGTCACACAGAAGCAGAGCATGAAAATTCGCATTCGTCATAGACGATACCACCAATTTGTCGAGGCAAGCACACACGCAAATTTCAAGGATCGCGTGCCTACAAATCGTCAACGGAGCCCAAAAATCAAGCACCGCGTGGGTGAGAATGCACTCCGCCAAGGATTTATCGAGGGACGAGCGATTAATCAGAGACGCGCAGTTCGCTCTTTTTATCCTTAATTTACGCGCGACTGATACTCCACTCCTTTTATTTCACAAAATTGATTTCATTTTGTTGTTGCGGTTTATGGAGATAAATCTCAAGAGTGAAAAGACTAACAAACATACGAATGCGCGAGCGTGATTGGTTTGTTCGTAATAAATGTTGAATTGTTTGAACGCCCGCCGCACATATCAGTTTCAAGCGTAATTAGCCGAAGCGTATATCGAGAATAAAAACGTCAAACAACAAGTAACATCTGCGTCCGTCTGTAGAATGCAAGAAGAGCAGTATGGAGCAGCTGCTCAGGCGCGGCCGCAAAACTTTTTCAAGTTAAACAAGAGGGAAATGAAGCCAAAAAAAAAAGAAAAGAAATCGCGTCAAAGCGAAGCAAAGTGGCCGTAGCCGCATTACGTAAAGCTTCACTCGGCGTCCATTACAAGCTAATAATGAGCTGCGAACGGCACATAGGACACACACACACGTGCGCACGCAAAAGAAAACGAGCCTCTGCCGCCGTCGCACATAAATAGCAATGTACACACGTCGTTTTACCCGTACGAGCTTGCCCGTGCATGATTTGTGCGTTTGCAGCCGTATTCAAACGCCTTATATTCGCGAGGTCAACTCGATGTTTCGAAAGCCGCTTACGGAGACATCTCGTTAAGGGGGCGTTGAAAGCCGAGCGGGTGAAAAAGTCCCTCGCGTGGATACAGATTAACGCTCTGATTTTTCGTTTCCCCTTTCTTTCTTTATATTCATGTATCCGCATTTAGTTAGGTATTGTAATATGTTTTAATGGCAAGCGATGCCACGAACAATGGCTCTACAACACGAAATGCCAATTACATATTCTTTGAATTGACGGTAATTTGTTTTTAATTATTATTTTTACGTCTGTAGCGCGAGTTTTCGAGACACTTTGTTTGTCGTTGTTGATGCGGCGGATAACAAGCGCAATTGCCGTTGCGCAAGACTCTTTTAGATGGAAATATTTTTTAATGATGCACATTAGGATCTAATATAGCATTTCACTATGTTTCTTTCGAATACAAAAGTAAAATACATATTGATTAATTTTTCTGTATGTGCCTTTGTGCATAGTGACTGAGTACGTATACGTTGGATGACCGTGATTAAAAAACCAGCATATGATAGCAGCCTCGGTATAGCCTTTTATACCGGCGCGTTTCACAATTATTCCATCGAGAGAGAAATTCACACTGCACATCCTCGCTAGTCGATGAATATATTCAGCATCTGGCATCTCTGCACGAGACGGGAAGGAAAAAATAGCAAACAAAACACCTGAGAGAGAGAGAGAGAGACGTGTATCTGTAAAAGTGATCAGGTTCTCGCTGACGTTTCAACCTCGGCGCATATTATAGTCAAAGAAGGAGAGCGCGGGGCAACTTTTGTCGGCGCTAATCCCCACATCAGGCATATACTTGGCGTTTCGGGCGCGAAATTGTTTCGTCAAAAAAAAGTGAGCCTAGAACGAGTCAGCTGACACGGCGTCAATCCGAGAAAGAGCTACAATTCTAATCCGTGCCACGATCTAAACGGTTGCCAATCATTTCCGGTTCTCGGATTTGTGAGTGTGCCGCGCGCTCCGCGGCTCAAAAGGACGACTATAAGAGGATTATGCACGCTCAAAAATCTCTACCGATCGAGTTTTCACGCTTTTTGACTCCATGCGCCCGCGAAAAGCCTCTACGTGAAACGAGGGTCATACGTGTGTTTGTGTGTCTGTTGGATGCAGAGAACGAAAGAAAGAGAGAGAAGGAAGTGAAAGTCAACGCCTTAATTTGTCGCGAATAGTCGAGGCGCGCGCTGCTCGCTTGTAATTTTCCACTTTGATGCCGTTCCAATGTGACGTTTTCAAAGCGAGCTGTCGTTTAGCCAATAGAGAGAGGTGCCTCCTTGCCTATATTCCATTGACGACAAACATGCAGCCCATATAGACGCACGCTTCTGCATACACCGATGGATGCAAATGGCTCGACAATTTGTCTCCCATTAGGCCAATGTCGCGCGCACTGTACCGTGCTGCTGGCATTTTTGTGCGCGACTTGGCCGCAGCTTTCAAGCCAATATTATTATCATCAATTATCTTTTATCCATCGCGCCTATATACACGAGCAATGAAACTAGTCGCATTATTGCCTTTCAGAAAATTTATCACATACACACATATAACCAATTCTTTTACGTATTGTATTTACAAAACTGTAAAACAGGTTATATGAAAGAAATCAGAGTGGTCGGTTCTCTATGCGTTAACCGAACATGCACGTTTCTGATTTGCTAAATTGATGATAAATTACCTCGATAGAGTCGCGGTTAATTGTTACATAAAATTACACAACTAACGATCCTTTCGAAAAAAAAATATTACGTAAAGTCATCTAATAACAAAAGTATGTACAATAATTTTTTGTAAATGAAGAATTTTTTGTTCTTCAAATAAGATAAACCTTTTTGACAAAAGAACATTTGTTCGAGATTGCAGCAAGTTTAAAAACATAACAACCCTCAGGTGAAAAAAAAAATTATTGCAAATAACTGCTACATCTAGAAACCAACAGCGAGAATCCAGGGAGATTGGAAGGCATCCCGAGCGATAATGTATTATAACTCTTTTCATCAGGGCGTCGCTTCCGGCCCGAAAGCCTGCGATTGATGAGCTTGCCGCGCGCGCGTCGAGTATATCCGACGGCTAATGAAGACGATTGTTGTTGCCCGGGTTATAACCCACGAGTGAGAGAGAGAGAGAGAGAGAGCGAGAGAGATCGCGCGCTCGCGATAATTCCATCGTGCCTCGCGCGCCTTCGCTCGCTCGCTTCGTTTTTTTTCTCTCTCTCTTCTTCTTCTTCTTCTTTACGAGCGCAGGTCATTAGCGACACGCCGCGCGCCTTTCGTCTTATCGTTTCGCGGCGCGCGAGCGAGGGAATTATTCGTTAAGCGAGGAAATCGTTGCCTATGTTAGCGAGCTTTATTGACTAAGATAAGTGATAGGTATTTTTTTCTTTTCTTTTTTCTTTGAAGGTTATAGATTCGATAAACTATGGCATTAAAAATTGTATCTTCGAAGCTCAGAAATCAACGCTCAATTCGTAATCGAAGAACCGAAATTGATTCTACGAACAGATGTGACGGAAGTAATGAGATATCGAAAGTCTATAAAAATCTCCAAGAAGAAAACAATAAAGACCCCTGTCGCAACAGAATTGATTTGAAGGAAGCGCCTTGAGGCGTATAACGACCCACATCTACGATTCATCTAAACGGCTGTGCTTTAAGCTTCTTGGCGAAAATTACACAGCTGCCGGTGCCCCAAACAAAATATACTTTGATTCCGAAATGAAGATCAATAAAAAATGGCTTCCGCTCATTATGTAGCCCTCGGCGTCAGCATTTCCTCGATTTGGCCTAGGCCAAGCCGACCTCTAATCATCGGCAGGCTCCCCCGCATAACTTAGCATCGGCGCGCAGTCGCGCGTTGACACACCGAGAGAGATGCTAATCGCTTGATGGATCGCGTCGGAATTAGCGTGGAGTGGCCGGCAGGCGATGCGAGCAATATTTGCCAATCAAATATAACACTCACCGTTGGACGACACGGAGACCGCATCGTGATGACTTGCGTCGCTGTCCTCGTCGTGATTATTATTCGACGACGCTCTCCATTGCCGAACACTCAAGTCTCGCGGTGTGGACGGCGGGCTATTCGGCGATTCTTGACTTTGCGGACTGGACGCCGAGGCAAGGATATCGGTTATCATAAAGCTCGACCTGTGCGGCATGGTTGTTGCGGCGTCGGCTCTGTCGTTCACGATATTGTTGCCGAGGGTCTGACTGGCGTGAGCGGCGCCGACGCGACTCAGATTCAGGCCATTAAGAGCGGGCACGTGGTGGCTGGGCCGCTGATGATGGACCGTCATCTTGCGGGACGGAATTTTGAACGATGGCTAGCGGCTGCAGCCAATACTGCACTGCAGTCTATTGTGCACAGTTTCTATGTCTTATTTCTCCGATTTTCCCGCGCTGTCTTGCTCCGCGCAACGAACCAACTCACTACCGCAATAAATATCCACGACACACACGCGCGCGCTCTCTCCCTTCCAGTTCACGAATCCCTCGGCCCTAGATCGCTCGCCCGCTCGCTGTTACAGCTGCTTCTCTTGCGGACTGCGCCACAGGACTGACTGTGCGGCTGAAACCTGCTGGCCGCTCACTCTCTCCTTGCGCGCGCTTGCTCGCTCGCTGGCTGCAGCCATGTCGGGACACTAAGGCCGCGCCCACCCATCACCCCACCGCGACCAATGAGAGCACGGCGCTCCAGTCGGTTAAACCAATGAACGAGGATTGGTCACGCCCAGGTAATTTGAAATGTGCTTCGCCGGTAATTCGATATAAAATTGTAGTTAATATCTTTCATTACGCGAGAGGTGGAGAAAACGGCAGTGCAGAGAGAAGGAGAGAGAGAGAGAGAGAGAGAGACAGAGAGAGACAGAGGACGAGTGTTTCTCAGAGAAAGAGGAGGAGGAAGTTGAGGGGAAGTAAATTGCGAGCGCTCTTGCTTGATGGTTAGAGGAGGGGGATGAACGGGGGAGTCCTTCGGGCACACGCAGCATCTCCCGCTCCCCAGCCATCCTCCCACTTTAGTGATTTAACGAATCCCAACGCTCCAGCATCAAATCGCCGGTTTCTCGGCTTTTGTTTCTTGCGCGATGGTTGCGATCGATTGCTGCGGCTCGCTCTGCTCTTTCCGTGGGGCTCTGGCTCTTTTCCTTTCCGTTTTTTATTGTTAATCGAGAGCGGACGTTGGCGCTGATCGTTGAGCTTGATATATTGCCACAAATCAACTGGCGCGCACATTTGATCGAAGGATTGCCTGACAATGGACTTTTTCCTAGTTTTGTTTTTGTTACATTGAGGCTTTAAAATTTTTTCGTTGCTGACAGAAGTTGAGCAATTATTTTTCCACAATACACGTGACGTCACGAGTCCGGATCATTTAGATAAGCGACATTATAGGACATAAAATATCCAACATAGCTGAACATTTTCGATGAAATTGTCATTCTACTTTACACTTTCGTTCAAGATGTCTCTTCATTTCCACAACAATATATGCGACTAACGTGTAATAATAAGACAATTTTATCCGATTTGTTTATACTCGAAAATAAATTAATAAATAAATCATTCCTGTAGCGTGAATTTTAGTATTGTCTGCATTGACGTTCAACATAATAGCTTTGTTACTTTTCACAATAAAATATAAGTAAATTGAACAATGATCTAGTTACAAGAAGAATATTGTTGCAACGATTATTGAGAAAATAGTACGGTGAACTAAAAATCGATTATAGAGCTCAGATGTATCGAAGTAAGGGAACACCGCTCCACAATAATTACCCATACATTGTAAAAGAGCCACTGCACAGCAAGCAAGCTTTGGATTATAGCACCATCTGCAGAAAAATTTTGTGGTGTGAGTCACGCATGCTCTGCGGTGTCTCTCGACATCTATCATTCTGCTTACCTTTCGACGCGACACACAATGTCGTGCCTGCACACACACAATGACACACGGACTTTAGCGTGGTCCTGGCATACGTATAAATTTGTTGTTTTATTTGTGCGCGCGCGCGCGCGTGTGTGTTAGGTGAACCCGGAGGGCGTGATGATGGGTAGCACACGCTTGCCGTGCTGCGAAATTGAATTAGCCGATGTTACCGCTGCAACCGGGCGGCCGAAATTACCGAAATTAGGGGTGTGCAAGTCGCGCGCGACATCATTTAATTTGGGGAGCCCCTTTCTCTATCTTCCTATTGCAGATATGTATGTATGCTTACAAACCATGTCGCCCATATGGCACTTGCGCGAGTGTATGTGTGTATGCGTGTGTGTTTGGCGGTGCAACCAAGAGTGGCGCGTACACGTTTGGCTGGCTTACGCGCTCATTAACATAAAGTACTTTTTAGCACTTTCGAGTTCGACGCGATTGCATATCAAAGTCGCCCCGCTACACAGCATATACAGTATCATGTGGCGCGTGTAAGAGAGACCGAGTTCGCTGATAACCTTTCGATTTCGTTGTATATATGTTATTACATTGCTCAGCCTTATTTACGGAGCAGAGCATGAATACTCGTGAATAGCGTTTACGTGTATATTACAAACACTGCGCTTTAAGTGAAAAGATAAAAAGTTGTTCAATTTATTTCTGTAATGTTTTCATTTTGCACTATAACTGGTTCTCCCAAAATCCGCAACAATATTTACTGATACATATTGTCCAATCGATTATAATCTTACATATAGGTATAGAGTTCTTACATCTGACCCATTAACCATAACATTTGTGTATAGCAAAAGTTATTAAAAAAAAAATTGTAATTGAAGTGAACATTCAAAATTACTGCAACGTTCCGAATCCCATTACTCTTGCAAACTCAAGCTCGCGCACGCGCACGGTGTATATGCACTCGCGGTACTTGCACGCACTGCACGACCCCTTTACAAACGTTACACATAGCTCCTAATGAATCCCGCAAAGCCATGCACCCTCGCCTTGGCGATTAGCATTGGTGCAGGACAAATGGCTCTCGTTACGTGTCAATTAGCATAACGGCGCGTCACCGCCGCGCACTTACATCGTACGTGCGCGGTGTTATATATCTCCTTTGCTCTGTATACACGTAATGCGTGCTGGACGGCCGCAGGAATGTTCCTATTACAAAATGCCGCTTCCGTGCTGCAACCGAGAAAAGACTCAGCCGAGCCTGTAATACGTCCATCAAGCCACCAGACCAGCCGAGACGCTTGTATACGCATGCCTAGCGTATCAGAGACGCCAAGTGCGGGAAAACTCCATTCTTCATTGATTTTCGTTGATTAAGCTTGCTCGCTGGTGAACATTCATGGACAAAAGATTTTTTCGCAGTGATTAAGACTATACCGATGCTTTCGTATTAATTGAGAATTTTGGATAAACTGACAGTCCTCTTCGTACTTTTGAAAAAGAACCCTTTGAATCCTTTGAATACTACGTTAAAACTTCAAATGGCTGGGTCAAGTTTTTCCTACGCTTGTCCACATAAAAAGTAAAAAATTTCAGAATCACTTGGTCAAAGTTATGCCAAACATTAATTAAACTTTATAATTATAATTAAATACAAACGCATATGTTATTTAGGTTCTGTTAAAGTTTTGTCAAAGTTAAAATTTTGTGATCGCAAAAAGAAAAAGTGGTTTTTCAAATGATATGGAAAGAAAATTCGGCAAAAGTTTTGCCAAACTTTATATAAAGGAACAAGGTAAGAATCAAAGTTTGCCGTTTTACCTAAACAGAAGTTTTACCAGATTTTATTTAATGAAAATTTAGGGAAATTTTGGGAATCCTTTAACGTTTTTTACAAGAGTTTTGTTTACAGTTTTATATATTCAATAAATTTGATTTATAATGACATTGTCGCTTTAGATGTTTAATACTTGTAAGATTAATTTATTACATCGCCATTTTTTAATGTTCAATGCAACTTACGTTAAAACGTGTTTTTAAAAAATTGCTAAACATTCTTGCACGCAATAGCGTTAACAAACTCCTTTTGATCTCCAGCATACAAAGTATATAAATCAAATACCATGGATTATCACAGAGTACAAAAAAAGTAGAAACTGTATAAGTGGTATAATAATGATCAAAGTCCATTTATAAGAATAAATCACTTGAATTGTAAATATGTATGTCTATACTGAGAAGCCGTTAATTATCTACTTTACAAAATCATAATCGTTGCAAGTATATAAGTAATTAAAACCTGCTGCTGCCTGCTTAGCATCGTCTCATATATGGCGTTCATTTCAATGACAAATTAGCATACCAAGGTGGCCGTAAAAATTGTGAAAAAAATTTATTTATTACTCGTTAAATACCTACCTTGCAAGAATTCGTTATTCGTAACATTAACTTTGTCAACGTGAAGGAAAAAAACAAAAAAAAAATCCGAAACGTATAAGAAACGTATCCTTATGAATCTGCGTGCGCCGCGTCAGGGCATAGATCTTTTAATTTCTAGTTTTTATTCACTCTGTATGCCATTCGAAGTGTCTCTCTCGCTCGCGGTGACTGCAGCGTACATTTATGGCGCGTGCGGCTGCAGAAGTGGAAACGCACTCCAATCATTAAATATACATGAGGGGTAGCTGCTGTGTGCTCGAGGCGCACAACACTTTGCAATGTTTCGAACGAAAAGAAGCGCGTGTATGTGCACGGGTAAACACACACATGCGCGCGGTCGTGCGCATGCACACCGCAATTTTTACTCTTTTTTTCTTTCGTGGGATATGAATTTAAAAAATCTCGTGCTTGTATCTTAAGCGCGATATGAGTGTTTTCAACTCTCGCTTTTGCTGTGGATTTTTATCGGCTTCTACGCGCACCCGGCCTGATTAATTGCTCACTCGTTAATTCACCCGTGATATATTTATTTTTCGTGCACTTTGCATCACTAGCGCGTGAGTTTCTAATTATCGTATATAAGTCAATTGAGTCTTACTTGCATGCTCCACTGCCAACTCACTCATTCTTTCTCCCTCGAAAATTGAATTTTACAACCGACGCTATTAAGAGCAACAACAACTAAGTACACATCGAGCTATTTTTCTCTGCTGAGCTCAATTAAACTTATCTGCAGAAGAGAGAAAAAGCTTGCGTTTAACGATTATGGCAGTGCGGCGATTAAGGTGCATTTATCAGGAATGAAAGCTTAATTGGAGGAAACAAGAGGTTAAGTGTTTATTAACATAAAAGGGCTTGGAAAAATCGTGCCTCGTGTGTGTAAAGTGTTACATAAATAAGACGGAAAAAAAGAGAAGTATATGCATGTAAGCGTAGTCTTATATGGCGTATCTAACGCAAAAAAACAAAAGCCAAGACAAAGTTGCATTTGCCACGGGAGTTTGAGGGAAAAAAAGTTTTACACTCTCGTTGAGCGATAATTGCCACAAGGCTTTATGCAAATGCAAGCTCATTATTTATCGTTGCTAATTAATCAGACGACACCTTTAACAACAAATCCAAGAGAAATAAGGTTGCCAAAAACATTGTCTTTTAAAGCCGTATTAGTTGAGTATACATATCGAGTGTAGCGAACGACAGAATTAGAAAGA